TGATGCGAGCACCATTATCTTTTTATTATGAACATTTATTTGCCGTCGCCTGCTCAATTTGCCAGCTAATTTTCATGTTGCGTCAGGCCGGCAAATTAGTGCGGCTCGGCTTTGATTAATTGATGAGGCGGCTCCGAGTCCTTGTCACCACAGCAATTTGCCATAATCTATCACACATCCTAGTCCCCCTCTGGCAGCCGAATGTCAACCCTTTTTTTTGGGCTTTTCTCGCTTTGGTTTTTTTTTTAGCCATCAACCGATTTCTTTATCGCCATCGATATAAGCCAGAGATGTTTTATGCGAAATAAATGCTCGACGTCCTGCCTGACAGCCGGTCTGCATCATCAGCAGTTGCTACAAAGTACGGATCGCAATCTCATAAAGCCAATTCGAATATTTGCTTAAGAATGTCATAAAACAGAAAACAGGGATAAGCCGTAAAACCAAGTCTAGGGCGAAGGACCTACTAAACGATAACCCCCGACATCCTCGACCGAAATAATAAATATGTTCGGGCCGTAAAAAAGTTGGCTCGACTTCGTTAAGCCAATGCCCCAAGACGGATAGGAGGCCTGGCCTGTTCGACATTTTTAATTGTGCTCTTGGCCAATAATTTTTTATTGCCTTCTAAACGCCGTCCGACGTGAAGAAAATTAAAACAATTGTCGGGGTCACCAGAATCCCCTCCTGGGTGTCGTCAATAAGTTTAACAAATAAAACGCGAAAGCGTACCACAAAATTGTAAACAACATATAATTTGATGATTTCTTCGGCGGGTCGAGCGAAGATTTTATAATTAAAATTTGTACTAGAATTGCTTTAATTAAAGCCGCAAGGTGAGTGCCAAAGTTTACGACCAATACAAATTGAAGTAGGATGGTGTGAGGTGGTGTCTCTATAATTTCAAGTAACTTTGCTGCAGACAAAGTTTTCCTTCAAATTTATAGAGTTTTTCGGACGAGAATACTAATTGGCGCTGGGTGGGAAAATCCCAGTCCTCCTCTAGCCTTCAAACGCCAACAAGAGTTTGTTTAACCAAATCAGAGCCATAGACATGCATAAAATTGTGTTCAACAAAAGGTTGAATGACACCTTGTCAGGTGAAAAATCTATTCATTTTTATATCTTGAGCTCAGGTGGATAAAGCAATGAGGATGTCAACCAAACTAGATTTTCAAGTAATGAAAAATTCATATGGAATACCAAATGCTCTTTTTTTTAGGTTTTATTAACTGAATAGTTTGTAAGAATTTGGTAGAACAGTGCGTATGATTAATATTTTAAAACCCCAAACTATGCTTAAAATCAATTGAGTTCGCAATTTCAGCTCCTAGCATCATCTTCATGTAAGGGCATGTTTCCAAAGGCTCGGAAAGTTTTTCCAATGCTTTTCTCCCTCTTCGACATGACGAAAGAAATTTGCTGTGAAGACAAACTTGTTGTTTGCTCCTTAACTTGGTGGGTTATCTCAAGTCGAACATCATCATCAGCAGCCCATCAGCGGCATAGCAGCGTCATCAGCATCATGGGTATCCCCAGCATCGCCGGCATCATCATAATTTTCTGGCTTCGTTTATCGAACTCAAAAAAGTTAAGAATAATGTACACTTCAACATTTGTGCCATAGTTTGAAAAGAAAAAACCTGCAAGAGATTGCGGAAGGCAATGGTCTGATGGCAGTGACAGTGGCTGGGTAAACAAAGGCTCCTCCAAAAAATAGGGAACATAACATAACTTGGCCCAACAATTTCCTCTTTAGTGAAATTTCGAAGCCCCTTTGTTGGGCTTGTTCCTGAGGAAGGTACATTGCCCTCTTCCGTATCTTTTTTTTTGGCAATGTAATATACTGGGGAACTATTTCTTAAGCTTTAAGATTTAAAGTTAGGTTTAACTTACTAAAAAATTTAGATTCATAAACACAAATTATGCTAAACTTATATAATCTTTTTATTGTTATTTATTTACCAAAAAATATTGATTGGTAGTAAAACGAATTAATTAGCAATCCGCAAATTGATTTAATTTTCAATTGTTTTTTGGACTAACACTACCCATTAGTCATTGTTCAAATGCGACCACTGTATTTTGGAGAGCGGGATACATGAGTAGCTTGTGTACTTGCGAGTGCTTTCGTAATGCAAATGAAATGAGTTTTTGTTGGCCAACGAGGTATTCATTAAAGCCCACCGATTCGGAGCGCCGCAAATTGCACTTGCCGATAGGCAGGCATACTGCGAAATGTGCAAATATTTATAACTGCAAACTGCGAGCCGAATTCATCAGGCCTAATAGCCTGCCTGATGGCTATTCGGCCAGTTGGCCAGAAGCGGAAACAATGTGCGGTTGCTAGCCACCGATAGTAGACCCATTCAGAACCAGCTAGTCTCCTCCCCCGCATAGAACTCCCGCTCTATGGAAATGTTGTTGATAATGATTTGCATTAACGCGCATTACAGCAAACCCATTTCAGCAATGAATGGCTGGGAGTGCAAGTAGATACGCTAATGCGAAATGATTGGAATTCTTTGGACAGATATTGCTGGCGAAAACGCAATTTATCTTCTTCAAATCGAACTGTTCCAGAGATGCATGTCCGATAATGGCCTTTACGTCTATCAGCGGCTGAAAGTTTCACAAAAAATATTCGGATAACCCCTAACTTTTGCCAGAAAACCAGGAAGGCAACAAAATACTTTTCCAGCAATTTGTTGACTCCGACAATTGCTTGGCTATTTGGCTGATTCAATACAATTATCTAAAGATTTTTACTGATTTATTTACTTGGGAGTTATTTATTTTTTGGACACAATTTGGGGACTTGGGCTTTCTACTTTCGGTTCGACTTGTTTACTGTTTACAGAAATATGATGCTCATCTCAAACACAAGACAGAAAAAAAGTAAGCCAACAAAAAAATATCATACCGAGGAAAGTTAAGTGCTACAAGAACAAGGAGTGTACCAGAAAAAATATTTAAAAGACGGGGCAAAGAAGTTGAACCGAATTCAAACGGATGCAGGGCAAAGTAGAAGGCCAACTTCGGACATCAAAGGATCGTAAAACGCACTCGCACTTTCCCACTGGAGAGTGAAGCAAAAAGGGGTCCTGTCTCGGAGCTAATACAATTATCTGGGCGAGGACCAGGAAAATTGTTACACGACAAATGGTCAAGTCTGGACCTGATGTCATTAGCTGCACTCGCTTCTGTTTTTCATGTATTCCTGCAGTGATTACACCTAAAAAGGAGGAAAAACAAAATTAAGTTTTTTAAGAGCACAAAACAATAATGACGTGTTTTTTTTTTTTGAAAAAACTGAGGCTTATTGTAGTTTTTAAAGTTATCTTGTCTTATAATAAAGAACTTCTTGAAACGGAAAATTTTAAGATTTTTAAAAGGATTAATTTATGGCATAAGCTTTTATAAAATCTCCATTTAAAACCAGGAATAACTAAACAAATAATTTTGTTCTGACATTAATCAAGCTTATGCCATTGCTAAGTGAGATATGGCTTCTTAATCGAATGATGCAACTTTCAGAGTCAAGATGGCTTATCGAATATTCAATATACTTATACATATATATATTGAAAAACGAGAATATATATTATAGCTGCTGGATGAAACTGTCACTTGGAAAGTGTTCATTTTACTTTCACTTTCTCCGTTTTTTTTGTAGCTTATCTTAAAGTTTTATTTTTTTGTTTTTGTTGCCTTTCCGATTTTATTTTTCCTGGCTAGCTGGCGTCGTCGAGCAAGGACATTTCCAACTGGCTTCATCTTGTTTGACTTTTCCTGCCTTAACGCGGGTCCTGCTGAGTTGTTGGACTTAAGCCAGCGGGGATTCCCTCCGGTTGCCACCAAGCGCCTCCCAAGTTCCCGGCTGTCGTCAGGCGAGTCAGTCATCAGCATCAGTAGCAACATAGTGAAAAATATTTACTGCTGCTCCTTCGTCCTTTCGCCCCAGCCATCCTTTCCCAGCCCGGCTGCTTTGTGTTTCTTGTAAATTGCTTCGCTTACGTCCATCCCACTCGCTACGGCTTTTCCTACTTGACAGGACAACGACAAATTTTACGTGTTGTTTCTTATTTTTACTCCTCCTTTTACTCCGATTCCACGCTGTTTGTTTTATCCCAGCCCTGTTTTTTATTCGCCCGTTCTCTCAGAAGACGGAGATGTGATTTCCGCTGCAATAAAATAGACTGGCTACCTTAAAGGCTTTATGACCCTTGGAATTCGCCAGTTTATGGCTTGTGTTATTTTTATGCACTCTACTTGGCCCCATCCTCCTGGCTCGCCCCATAAGTGTTGGAGCCATTTTTGTTTTCCTTTCGTCACTTTGATGTCCTCAAACGGGTCTGGGGTAGAGTTGAAGCGACGAAGTCGGCACTGGGCCAAATTACCATAAAATATTAAATTATTTATGCATATCCCCATTGAGAAAATTTCTTTGCTGGTCCCCCTTTTTTTATTGGCCACACCGACGGAGGGTCAGCCGAGAATAAGTTCCCCGAATGTGGGTCTCAATTTGGCTTACTTGGGGTAAGTTGGGGATAATGTAGTCACGCTGAGGCGAACCAGGGTCAGCTCGGCTCAGGGTCTATTAATGCCTAAGCCAGGTTAACGCTTTTAATTTAAATGGAAAAGGCAGCGAAAAAAAAGGTGGGACTATTAAGCCTGTGGATCCTTTTTGACAGACCACAGTTGGTGACTGGCATAGGATAATAATATATTTTATCAATTAAAGCAACTTTATTTGTGAAAATTATTCAAATATGATTTATATTTCCCCCAAATGATTATTAATAATTTTTTGGTTTATTGGAAGTTTTAATCAGCGAAACACCGGGGAATACTAACTCATGCAAACCAATTTGTTAAGCATGATAACATTCATAAATGATTTACCATTCCGATGAGCCAGACCAAAAATACAGAACACAGAAAGCACCGACAAATTTCCATAAATTTTCACATGATTTATTGAATGCCTTTTATTTATGATGAATTTTCAATGGCTGTATATTTATAATTTTTTCATAACTTCCTTGCGACAATAATCTAATTATTGATTCGATTTCACAACTTGAAATGGAGTGTATGTGTTAAATTGAATGTACATTAGATTGAATCAAGTATGGGGGAGTATGTGAGACACGCAGACATGAGAGTTATGGTAACATTTAACCTAATTATGGAGCCGTCAATCCGGGCTCCTGCCGCTATTTACAAGGCCGACTTTAATTAATCTCTAACCTAAGTTACGTAACTGCAGATGGCGCGAAAGCTTACAAATAATTGGAAGTCGGATGCGCGACCCAGGTCAGCGTTCAATAGGCCAGTCACGTCCGGGGCTGCATTGCCCGCAGGAGTCCGAGGACGCCCAGGAGTCCGAGCATCGCCTGGAACGTGCTCCCTTCGCCGGTCCTCGTACTTGTCCTCGCCGCCGCTGACATGATGGCCGATGCGGAGTATTCACCTGTTGGCCATAGTAATTCGTCGACCGACGACAGTTGCGATTAATACGAATCATTCATTTCACCTCACATAGAAATAGAAATTGGATGCGACAGGCCGGGGGCCCTCAACTTACCGCTCAGCACGTGCAGGTCCACAGATACGGAAACGCTGTTCGACGGCTGGCACGTATAATTGCCGGAGTCCTCTTTCCGCACGACCGGTATTATCAACGAGCCGATCTGCAATAACCGTCAACCGTTAGCCGTTTACTGTCTTCAGCTTACCGTTTATGTCCAATCCCCCAAGGCAGTAAACACTTCACTTACCGTGTTTTGATTATCGCCCACAGTTCCAAAGATATTTCTATCCAGTTGGGTGTACCATCCGGTGCGTTCATCGTTCTCGCTGATCTTCTTCTGGCCCCGGAACCAGATGATGTACTTGGGCGGGTCCAGAGTGCCCCGGACGATGCAATGAAGTGCCACCTTGCTGCCCGCCTTTACGAAGCGGCTCTGATCCCCAATCAGTTCAGTCTTGGGAGCTGTAAGAGGGTTTAATTAAATAAATACATTTTGGTCTGTAAATATGGTTTTTTTTTTTTTCGAAAAATGTGAACACTCACTGACTATTTGCAAGTGCACCTTGGCACTCAGCTTAGGCTCGGTGGCCATCTGGCACTCGTACCAGCCGGCATCGCTTGGCTGGACATATTTGATTTGCAGGGACCAGGTGTAGTCGTGATCCTCCTGGAAAATCGACTGAAAACGTTCATCGGCAATGAAGGTTGTTTCGTCCACACTGATGATGTGATTATCCCGGATTCGCACCCAAGAGACGGGTTTGTCGGACAGACGGTGGATCTGAAATTGCACCAGAGAAAAAAATTAAATTAATATACAACTCCCACACAACTCTGTGGAAATCAAAATTAAAGTCAGAGTACTCCATTATGATTTCTTAGTTCACTAAACTATAAAAGCATGAAAGCTCAAGCAACCAGCATTAACATAACTATTATTATGTAAATCTTTGGCAATCTGCTGCTAATGAGCTTTCACATTACACAGATTGCATTCGATGTTGAACTAATCCATACATGAATAATTACCCCGGAGCCGGGGAACTAAAATAATCCGGCCACGTTCTGCCTGTCGTTTCGGTGTTAAGTTGCAAAAAATCTGATGGCTCAAACGAGTCCACGGACGTAAAATCTTAGATCTCGACGAGACCAGGAAATGGAAATGAGGAAGCAGATGATGGCGGATTCTGGGCCAACTTAAAGCTAAAATATTCTCACAGTTCTCTTCGTTTTGCTTTGGACCTACTTTGGTGTCCTGTCGGCTCCTGTTTTGGCCCTGTTGTGGTCCAGGCCCAGATCAGCATAATTTCATTTGCATATCAACAATTCATTCTGTTTACGTTTATTTTTTATGACGTAAACAACCGCCCATGCTTCTATTTACAGTTTACAATTCCATACAATTTATACATATATATTTCTGTATATCGTATATATTTTTTTTATCCTGCCCTTTCACGGTCTGCTCTTCTACCGCTTTTGTCCAAGTCTATTTTACAGATACGGCCAAGAACACCTACGTACGCATGTAAATTTGATGTCTGTTGTAGCTGTATGTAAAATACATTTTGCAATATGTATGCATGCAAATAAGTGTTTCGCTTCCTACCATCTGTAGCGATATCCTTGTATGTATCTGTATCTGTATCTGCTCTACTGTGTATCCGTATCCATATGTGTGTCGGCGAATGTGTGAAAGCGTGTCTGTGTGCAATATGTAAATGGTAGTTTTATCTCCGGTCCGTTGAAATTAAAAAGGAATTCGGAAGCAAAAAAAGCACTTTGCTCAAGTGCGTGTGGCTTTAAAATTAAGCTAATCCCTTCAAGCCTGCCAGATAAGTTTATTATTTTCATGTCTCGGTTACAACTAAAAGGCTTATTTTCAGCAACAGCTTTGAGCTTGTGGGACAAGAGCTCTAGTCATTTTAATAAATTCAATAATTTCATTTATAATAAATTCCCGTTGAGACATTTTACAAAGCCACCCATCAAATTAGGCCTACTCTTACGCAATTTTTGACATCAGCCTGATTAATTTGCTTTTGTATGATATACATTTTTTTCGTAAAGCAGCTTAACCGGATGGTACCTATTTATGACACGTGACATTTAATTTAAATGTAATATTCGCAATTAAACGTAATCTCGTATTAAAAAACCCTTTCGCAAGCAAACCTTAATGGCTTACCCCACTGAGGTCGCCCACCCCAAGCCAATCGGAATTCACAAAAACCAACAAGTACACACTAAAAAAAAGTCCTTAAACGTTGATACATTTAATTAATTAATAAATTTTAATATTCATAAATTGGTTAGAGTAAAATTTTTAAACAAAGCTTTTAGCATAGTAGCTAAACTAAAAGAACTTCGATAATACATGAAACTTTTTTTTATTAAAATATATTTTTCACATAATTTTTTGCAGTGTCGTTTACACTCACCTGACATGGCATGTAGGCGTGGTTTCCCATCTGCGCCGTGAGGTTAAGCACCGGCATTGTCAGGTTGCGTCGCAACCCCACGCCCTCAGTCCCAATCCCGCGGTTGGCGGCCAAGTACGATTTCTGCTCCGTATATGTTCGCCGACGCTGCTCCTCCGGCGATATTGTAACCGCTTCGGAGGATGCGGCGGCTGCCTTGGCGGCCTCTGCCTCGGCCGCGGCTGCTGCCTGGGCTGCGGCATCGGCGGCGGCGCGGTAAGCGGGCAGATCCGCTGCCGCAAAAACGGGAAATGGGGGCAGGAAAGTGGGAATGGAGAAGCCCTTGGTCAGTGAATCGGCGACACCCGGATGCGCCTCCACCTCCGCCTCCGCAGGCATCCTTCCAATGGAGTTTCGCGCATCCGTTTCCGCCGATGGCGGATAAATTGTTGATATGAGCATCTCTGATGTTGCTGCTGCTGGCTGGGCTGCTGTTGCGGCTTGTGTTGCTGCTGTAGGAGCTTCTGTTTGCCTCACTGTGGACTCAGTAGTTAGCCCAATTTGTGCTGACTGGGTCCATGCCATCGTTGTCCCAGCCATATCTGCTGATGGCATGCCCCGGGCTGCGGCCGTGCTCCACAGACTCGATGCCATTGCCTTTGCTGCTGCCTCAGTTGTTGCTGGTTGCTGTGGCAGCTTTTTTGCTGTCGTCAAGCTGCCGGCTGTCGTAATTAGATCGTTTTGTGTTGTCAGTGGCCTATCTGGCAAAGTGGATCTTGTGGCTGTTGTAGGCCTGTGTCCCTCAGTTGTCTCAGGCTCCAGTCCTCGGATAACTTCCGCTGCCAAGGATGCTTGTGTCTCCTGGGGACTGCAGGTGACAAGTTCTGTGGGCGTGATCGAAAAAAAAGTGTATTGTGGTTGTTTACTGACTATTTTCTGTGGTTTAACTATTTAAGGTAGGAATTTAATGCAGGAATAATACAGCAAAAAATTATATAAATGGGTAATATTTAAAACAAAACAATATCATCAAAATGATTCCCACCATTCTCTGCTAATGCAATATTTGGCTTAATTTAAACGAAGGAATCCTAAATAAATAAATTTAATAAATGTTTGTGGCGCACATCAAAGCATTTGGAAATTAAGGAAAATTATTGCAATCGGCTTATGCAAGGCGAATGAATTAAAATGCCGGGGAAACAAATGAGATTTCCCCCACGCTTCCCCCGGAGCGAGTGTGAGGCCTTCGCACACACTCGCACTCAGAGGCGTAGAGTGTATGTATTTCGTTTCAGTTAATTTTCAATTACGCTTTTATGCTAATTAAAATCGTAAAAATTTGCCGCTTAATGTCACTGCCTGTGGTGGCTTTCATTGCGTTTGTTCGCTCTTTCCTTTTTCAGTTTCAATTTTTCTGCGAGCACGCTTTCTACTGCTAAAAGTTGTTTGTTTTTTTGTAGCCTTGGCTGCCTTTTCCTCTTTGGCATTGCCGGTTTGTGTTTCCCTTTTAAACTTTTCCTTTTTATGTTTGCGACTTTGTGCCCTAGAGGAAAACTCAGCATAAAAAATAAATGGTAACTTCAGCCTCATAATCATTGCGTATACTACACGTGTACCCCACATCCTGGGCTCCTCGGACGAGGGAAATCAAATCAAGAACCCACTCGCTCGCCACCGCACCTGTCCTCGCACCTCGTCCTAATTAATCAAATGAAATCCAGCCCGAACAAATAAATATATTTTTATTTACATTCCAGATTTTTCAGTGGCCTGCAATCGTATTTTATTTATTTGCTGAACACAAATGTGTCATATATCACAAATATCGCGCAAAATATAATATTTGCCCAGTTGATAGCAAAAAAAAACGTATGTATTTATCCTGAACAAATAAAGTTTCATCAATTTGTGCAAAACTTTATTAAAAGATTACAAAGCTAATAACTTTAGGCAATAAATTTATAAAAAATGAAATGAAAGGCCATCTGAACGACTAGGCAAACGCCGCAACATTGATTAGCTCAACACCCCAACCAAAAAAAAACTTATTTGAACAACTTTCTGCCTCAAACACTCTGAAAAGGACATGCCGGCCCCGGGGCTAAGCACCAACTAAATTGAGGGGCGGAGAAGGACAAGGCGGAGGCGTGAACTTGGCAGTCGAAGTCATTCAAGGGAAAAGTTTTGAGCAAACCGCAAAAACCGGGAGGAAGAAAATGAACATGTTGGTGTGCACTTGAAATTGTTTGATTTCAATATTTCTGGGAAATTTAAGTTTTCAGCTTAATAAAATATTGAAAAACTTCACAAAACTTTTTTTTGTGCTTTTCCAAGAAATCCGTTTAATTATTTGGACTAAGAGACTGTTCTGATGATGTTTTTTTTTTTTTGCAAGCAGTAAGCAACCTTAAATTTTCATATTCTATATTAAGAGATGACTAAACAATGTTCAAGCCCAGATTTATCAAACATCAATATTATTCTTGAAAATTATACATTTCAAAGGCATTCGTGAGAGGAAAACAAACTCATTTGTGGCAAGATATCCAGCAACAACCAGCCAGTTCAATGCTCAGTAAAAACGGGCCAGAAGAAGGAACCTGGAATTGAGCACTGATTTTCAGGGCCAAGATCTCACCGGGCTGATAACACAGAATTTGCATTTTTAAATTATTTCATTTCACGTGCTTGTCAGGGCCTTGATTTAGGTAGAGCAAGAAATTTCAGCCGTTCTCGTTACCTTTCAGCTGCCCCAAAAATTCTACGTGTCTCGAGGCTCAACCACAAAAAAAGAATAGCCACAAAAAGTAGAGCCAAGTGAAAAAAAGAGAATCCACAGGGCAACCGCATAAATTTCCCCACGAAATCATTTCAAACGAATGCGTGTGATTTGGCTGTGTTGATAAGGTCCACCCCAAAGGTCGAACCCCGGCCCGGCAAAAAGGTTGCAAGCCATTTTTTTTGTTAAAATGCAAATTGAAAATTTCACTCACAGAAAAATAGTAAATTTAAACCGCACTGCAGAGTGGAATATTTTTATCCTCCCCCTATTCGTTTTCGCTTTGTTTGGAATGTCAAGATGGAAAATCCCATGAGGAGGGGTGTTTGAGGAGAGAAAAAAGCAAATCCAGAACAGCTTGCTTAAGGCAGAGTTTGCATTTTCAATTAAAACCGATTTAGCCGACAATCAAATCGGGTTTGATTTCTTCACAAAGAAAAATGCTTACTCAAACAAAAAACCGGAAAAACGGAATTTATTTCTGTGGTACATTCAGTATTTGTAATTGGAACAGGCTTTTAGTTGGAAAGAAAGCGAATTGTTAAAGGCCCAAAACCTGCCAAAAACTATTCCCACAAATCCGATTAGTTTTCTGCATTCTGCCGTGTCCTTTGCCCTTTTTATTTTGGGTTAGCCAGGAAGAAGTGTGATCCAGCCATTTAGAGCACTTGACGACAGTCAGACACACACAACAAACACCCATCATACTATGTAGTATATACCCACAGGCACACACTCGAGAGGGAAAAGAGTGAAACGTGCAATAAGACTCAAATTGTTTTCTTGTTTTCCTTCACCAAAATTGGCCGCAGTCATGGCAATGGCCCTCATTCCCTCATCCGCACCCTAGATCCGGGTCCCAGATCCGTAGTCCCCCGACTGAAGTTCATATTTTAAGCCGGCTCTAGCCGGAATGCCTGCGGAATAGTAATGCTCACAAATTAGGCAAACGGCTGACGCAAAAATTACTCAAATTGGCGTTCACTCGACCGGTGCCAGACAGAAACAGCCAACAAACTGGGGCTAATGAAAATTTAGGAATTGGCTTAGCCCACTACAAAATGAGACATCGCATCAGGGCTAGGGGCTAGTGAACATTGATATCATTATTCCGTAGAAAAATGTCCTTAAATAAACTTGGGGGCAGTAATTCGATCCACAGTTCCTGTTCAGGCCCTCGTTAACTGGAAAAATTCTCAGGGGAAGCTTATTTTACTGCATAGGTCAGGTATATCTACGCAGGACAATACAAAGCGATATCCTCAAGCGCTGAGTAATTAAAAGAATGTCTCTTAGAACCTGAAACTCCCATGGTGAAGCTATTTTAACTATCACAAATGCTTAGGATGAGCCGTAGAAATCTGTTTTGAAAACTATTCCATTCTAAAGCCATCAAAAGGGCCTAAGCCCGCCCATTGTGTAAGTGCCTGTCATGTGGCATGCTTTATTTTGTATTCTGTAGCCCTGGATACCAATGACGTAGTCACCTGAGTGGAGGCTAAAGTGGGGATTGGGGCGGTGGATCGTGTCCAGACTGGCCCATATGGTGTACTTGTCCTGGCACTTTGACCCCTTAGTTAATATTTCATGGAGTTTTCCTTTTATGATGCTGCACAAAATCGTGCGAGAAAGTGAGACACAGAAATTACCAGCACAAAGAAAAATGTGTTTGGATTTAGTTGTATTTTTGTTGTTGTTATGCAATAAAAAAAAAATAAATTGGAATTTAATTCGAGATAATATGTTTAATTAAATGAACAAAAAATGTTAAAAAACATGTTTGTTTAATCACATATCTTAATTAGCCATTGTAGCATAATTAACAGATAAAAAATGTGTTTTATTTTCATACAAATTAAATCTGAATGTTGTTTTTCACAAGTTAATAACTTTAAAAAATTTATAAATATTTAATTAAACTTATTATTTGCCTCTCCCTCTATTACTGTAGTATACAAATAATCAAGTTTCGGAGCGACCAAAGTTCAAGAGGTCTTAATTCGCGCAATCTTCGTGGCACGTGCATCATTAGCGTGGCGTTAGAGCACTCGCATCAGCTTTGCCCAAATGCGGCAACTTTTCTGTCTTCATTTTCCATATAATTATAAAAAATATGCGTGGGCCTTCCAGCCCAAAAAAAAAACTCGCAATAATTACATGTCCAATAAAAAGTCATGGCTGTTTTGCAAGGACAAAATGACGTCGATGGCATCGCGGCCGTAATTAAAACGTCGAGCGCTTGTGGCCAAAAGAAGACAGAGGGCCACTTGACTCGTGGCCATCCGCAGCTCCATCCGCACCTGTAACCTAAACCGAAGCCCTACCCGCATCCGACCCGCATCCGCCTGTTTGCCAGTTTTCTGGCGTTGGTGTTTATGAGGAGGACATGGGCATGCAAAGGAGCAGCCGACACATATACTCGCTCGCATAAAACCAGAAAACTTTTCACCGGGGAGCACTTTGGATTATAGCCGCCTCGAGTGCACATAAAACACGAGTCCGAGGACTCGGATTGCTGCATCTATCTAAGTTGGCCCGAAAGGGGGAAGCGGGGAGCAGGCTCTGAGGCTGATAGTTGTGTCGCCGGATTTGAGTTCTTCTGGCTGCTGGTTGGCAATCTTAATGAGTCCCCTTTGGGAACCGCCGAAGCAATTAAAGTTCAAATGGGCTAAATTACTTGTTGGGCATCCCATTAAGTGCAGAGTCTTGGGGCTAAATATAAACAGAAATAAGATGTGGAGAGAGCTCTAAAAGCGACTGTATGAAAATATCCAAACCTAGCTCTTAGTAAAACCCATAATTGTTATTTTTAATAGGAATACATACTAAGATACTAGCAGTTCCGAAATGTTTTTTCGATACATAGTATATTTTATTAATGGCACCCTTTTCAATCCTACTTTGGAAATTAAATTTGCCAAAATATACGTTAAATAAGAACCCAAAAACCAGTCGCCTCAACATGGCCATTAACAAGTTTACTTTAGCTCAAGGTTCGCAGCACGCACCGCACAGACAACAGGCAACTGGGTACAAACTATACAACACTGCGTATACGCAACGCTGGGCAATGCTCCAATTTCAATTTACTGCGAAACTGAAACTGAAATGAACCTCAAAAGGGGAACCAAAAAAGAAAGAAAGAAAGAGTGGAGCTGCTGTTTCACTTTTGCCGCCTGTTTGTTGGAAACACGTAGACCGAAGAACACGATGCCATAAAAATAAATTGAGCCCGTGCACAGTCACCGACAAAAGTGGGTGTACCGACAAAGAGCCAAGTGAGCAGAATGAAGGCTCTGGGGCAGCATGGTAACCCACATTGAATGCCCGTGCCCATCGCATTGGGCCCGAACATGGCGTGTATAATTTTCACAGTGACACCCAACATATGTTTCAGTTTTTGAATGAATCCTTGGATAATGGCAGCAGAAAGCAATTTCACACTAAACACAAACATCTCCGTTCGGCGGAAGCCACTCGAACGAGTGGGAGCTTGTAACCGGGAGCCGGGAGCGGGGTATCACCCACTCAAATACCCCCACATTCTAGAGGCAAACACATGCAAATGTATCTTTAATGCGTAGACATCGCAGCGTGTTTGCCCCAAAAACACACACAATGATACTAGGATGGTGTGCACATATTGGTACAATTTCTATAAGATTTCATGGCTATACTCTCTCCAAGAGCTATTTATTTATTTATTTTGCAAGAATCCGCCTCGGTATTCGTCGTCGCCTCCGCTTTTGGTAATTGTTTATTGATCGATTTGATAAATGCCACTTTAAATACAATTCCTCCCCTCCTTTGTTTGATTTTTTACTCAAATATTTATGGGAATTCCAAGCACTTGTGATCAAATGTCATCACAATGTGCATAAACATAAATAATTTATGATACGAAAGGTTCAAGTTGATGAAGATGAATCCGTTTGCGGGGGATGGGCATGATAAGTGAACTGTGGTCGAACCAAAATCTAGAGGGAAATTAAATGCCAAAAAATGGTAAAGTCTAAATTTAAATGGATTTCGGGATGGATGGCACAATGGCCTCGTGGTGAAGATAAAAAGTTGTTTATAAATGGAAAAGTCATATTTTCTGGAAAAAATACATAAAATGATAAAATCAAACATTTACTTTCTTCCTTTTTTCCTGGAACATTTAAAAATAAATAAGGCCTGAATAATTTTGTGAGCTATGAAGTTAAAAATTTAACAATATTTTAAGTTAAGCAAACTTTTCTATCAAATATTGCTCTTGGCCATTTTCAGTGACTTCTAATTTAATTTTCCCTGAAAACTTGGGGACAAATTCATAAAATTATCTTAAATGAAAATATATTGTGTCGCCAGAGTTCCATATATTTTGCTTTCATTAAAGCCTTGCTCCCTACTGCCTCTCCAAAATATAAATCAACCGAAATAATTATGCGAAATCTCAACGCTATACGAATATCTCTCATGACTCGTCTGTTATCTACTTGATTTTTATGGCTTCCAGGGAAAATATTTAGCTAGCCAACTAGAGGAGATTGCGGACGAAGAATGTTGAGGAGAAGAAGGCTTGCCGGCAGCCATAAATAAGTAGGCAAACGTTGACCAGAAATAAAACAATTTTTCATGGGGTCTCCTGCCTGGAAGGAGTGTGTTCGGCATCCCGTTTTTCCCCACCCCAGCCTCCTGCGGCGATTCATAAATTTCCGCATTTTTGGCCAAGAGGCTCTTTTCCTTTGTATCTTTGTTTTTCTTGATTTTTTTTGGGCGGTTTGTCTTGTTCTTTTCACACTTCGGCAAGAAATGAAGACAAGGCTCGTTGACTGTCGCTGCACTTTGTCATTTGTGGGTCATTTCGAGCTCTGTGTTCTGTCTTTCCCCCTGCAGCCCTCTCAGGGTTTTTATCCTCCATTCGAGGTCCTGTGTCCTGTGGGCCATTCTCTGAGCAATTAAATGCCCCATACACTTACTCACTTGTTGTCGTCTTTGATTGCCCAAAGCGCCGAGGCTGCAGCTCTCGCCTCTGACCCTCTGAATAATTTCAGCTCACATTTTGCGAGCCAAAAGCGCATCAAGGCCATTCCGCTTACATTGTAAGCGTGATTGTGTATGGTAACAGGAAATTGTTAGTAGCATGGGGAATGTGTGACAGTGGGCGAATATTGTACACAAAAGTCTGTCATCCGACAAGTGGAACCATCAAATTGATATTAAAATGAAGGACCTATAATTTTTACAGTCAAGAAAGATTTTTGAAAAGATCTTGATTTTCGCATATGGATATCACTACATTGTATCCTTCAATAGCTTCAATCCTTATATTAAGTACCACTTTTGAATTGGAAACCAATTCGCACACACCAAACTGGTTGGCCATAAATTGGAAAAGATTTTCTCTATCAAAAAAGTCGTCGATTTTTTCAAGTCCTCTAAAGTGATCAAATTTGTTCGCCTACTAGTAAACACATCAGTTACAACTTGGCCCACCGTGGGATACTATTTTGACCTGTGGCACTGTCATGTGCTGGTGGTCCGGCCCAGGCAGCTTCCAACCCATTGCCAACTTTGTTTGTGTTACAATATTTTCCGTCATCACAGGACATGCCTGGCTGGGGTCAACTGACAACGTGTGCTACTGTGTGTCGCACACTATAGCCGCCTAAGGGTCGCTGTTGTTGTCGTGGTTGTGCTGTTGTTTTGGTCTCTCCGCAAACCCATTTATAATTTATGAAGGTAAGCAAACACTTTTGGCCCTGGCACACACGACAGGACGTCAGGACATCACGACCCCTGAGCTGAGCCTTAAAGGATTCCGGTCATTTGGCCAGGTGTAATGAGTCGGGGTGTGAGAGGTCAGGCCAAGTCAATCTGTAGGCCGCTTTGATTGGAACACAATAACTTTGTCGACACATTCCCGAAATTAGCAGGAATCCGACAGAATGCAGGCCCTCATAAACCTTTCCTCCGCAAATCCCCGACCAAAATTTCCGAAAATTCAGAATGAGTTTTTTGACCGAACAATAGAAGCAACAGCAAGCCAAACTTTGGCCGTATTATATATTTTTGACTGTTCTGGGGAAGGGCTTACAAATAGTTGGAAAGGGCTGGCAAAGTTGGCTTGCATCTGCTTTGTTTGGACCATTCTGTATTTTGGCATAACGAGTTGCACTCAAACTTTTCGAAAGCGCATTTTGCTAAGGGGGGAGAGAAACACGTTCAGGGGATTTGGGTAAATGGGAAGATGCCTTCTGGCCATCACACCCCAGAGCGCCACTGAAAATGTGTTTATTAAACATTTTTTGGCAAGTTTTCAATTTCGTTAATGCCTTCCACCAGCAATTGTACGGCAGAGAAAGGGTGACCCAAAGGTTTGCTCTCGCTTGGCAAAGAAAGAGAAATTTATTGTTTTATTTTCGCCTTGATTATGGGGCAGTTGAATAGCAGTAGAGCAGCTGCTACCTCTGCCAAAAGGAGCATTGGGGTTAAGGACCTTGCGCAAACTATTTTTCATCCTCATACTTTTCGGAAGCAGCCGAGAAGCCCAGTCAAACTTTTCAGCTTAGTAGTGCGGATAATTGTTCATAAATTGGAAAAAGTTCCTCAACATTTCAATATTCTCCTGTATATGTTGAGCCAATTAAAGCAATTTCGTATTTAAAAGTTGTAAAATGTTTTAGGCTATAATTATTAATTAAACCAATTTACCAATTACAACTACTGGCTGTTTTAGTTATTTTAAATAAATATTCCAAAGCCATCTCCAAATATTTCGTTTCATTTTCATTATATTTGCAATCCTTCATTTGTCTAATTAAAATAAATTACCCCCAAAGCTTAGCGGAATTATTTGTTGTCAGTGTCTAATTTCTTGGTAACTTAAACCACTTCAGACTGAATTAGAAAGCATTGAAATTTAATCGAAACTAATGTCTTTCAGTTGAGAAAGTCTTTATCAGAAACCAAGCCTTTTCAAAATGTATATGGAGAAATTTAGAGAAAAGGAAGTAATGTTTTTTTTCAAAATTTTTTTATTGTGGTCTGAAATCTAATTACATTCAGATAAGGTAGCGGCGATGCGTCTTAACTTTTCTCTTCAAATGCCACATTTTATCAATTCTTGTAGACCACTGTTTTCCTATTTAGTGACCTCGTGGCTTCGTCTAATCTAATTTCGGCAAATCAAATGAAACAAAAGGACCCACACAATTGCCAAGGACAAGTTTCGCCAAAGACAATTGGCTTTGGGCCCTCATCCCCTGCTGATCCAGAATCACTAAAATAATTTGCCAGCAGCCATGTCGCGTCTTCTGGGACACGCTTACGAGTGCTATTATCCTAGAGTGTGTGTGCACTTAGAGAAATATATGAGTAATGGGGTAAAAGGATACAAAAATGGTACACTGTTTCTATTACTTGTCTGTTTTCTAATTTTTTATGTTTTCTTTTTTATGTTACATTAAAAATTTGTATAGTACAGGATGTTAAATAGAGTAAAATAATGAAGTGTCAGGTCGGTTTGCAGTGTGCGACATGAATGCGTTAAATTAAATCAAAAATGTATGAAAGTCACCCAAGGAGAATGGGTGGGAAAACCCCGAGCTGTACTTACGCATCCCACAGCCGAGAGCTGCCGCCGAGAGTAGAAGGAGCCAGGACGCTGGCCTGGAAGTAAGGAGCAAGTGGCGACACCCACGCTGCCCCGTTGCTTCCCTTCTTCCGATTGCTAATGTTACTCCTGTCATCTCTGCAGTTGTCAACGTGGCTGGTCCTGATTCTACAGCTCCTTCCGCGTTTTGCTAGTTCTAGTCCTGCGTGGCAGTCCCAGTGGCCCAGTTCCTGGCTGCAATGACACTTACAGCGCCTTTTGTGCGCTCATTGTCCGCCTGGCTCCAATTGGGACTCGTTTGCGGCATCGAATCTGGCTGCTCTGACTCCTTGGAATCGGATTGGGATCCAGGACCTGCTGATTGCACTGCGCCGTCTTGGCTGGCAAACTTTGTCGCATCCTCCGTTCCGCTCTGCTCCACCCAACAAATCCCAGTCCAAGTCACAGATAAATAGGTTTATTGAATTAATACGCTGGAGGCTGGCTCTTTGGCTCTCTCCGTTTGGGGATGCTCTTACCTCCTCGATTTTATTTCATTCGATTTGATTTCTATTTTATTTCTATTTTCCTCAGAAAGAGATTGCAACTCTTCTTTATGGGTCTGCCACAAGTTTTTCGTTGCGTTTTCGTTTGCTCAACCGATTTTCTTTCAGTTTCATTGTTTAGTCCCCAGCTCTTGTGGCCTCTTGGCTTGCACTATTTTTACTTTGCTTGATTTATATATTTATTTAAGTGTTTTCGCCTTTGTTGAGTGGTAAACTTTTATTGGCGCTGCAGTGGCTTCAAAAATAAACAAATAAACTGGCTTCACAGCTCGACTTGAGTATATTTCCTGTGGAAAACCAATTTAAAATGTTGGCTTTTAATTTATTCACAAAATTCAACCAATTCAACAAATCCTTTTCAAACAATCTTTTAGATTAAATGCAGAAAATGCATTTTCTAAATCTTTACTTTGACTCTACAATTGTTATTTATTTAAATTGTATCGAATTGAAGCATATTGCCAAATCAAAGCAGTGGAATAAAAGTTTGGTTTTAAAATCTCATTCAATGGAAAAATTCTTAACTTTTTAAAGAAATATAAATCAAAATAGCCAACTTCTTTACACTTACATCCTCATAATCGTTTGGCAATTAATAAAATTTTCTTTTCTTCGTTCACTTCTCACTTTTTCAAGCCACGGGCCAAAAGTTAATAAATAGAACAGTTTCCATGCAAAACTACTATAGCACCCGATCACCCAGTGTTCTCAATGACTAATGGGACAAAGTTTTAACATGGCACGAAAAACTTGAAGAACTTTCACCATTTATAGTGTTTAACAACTTTTACGGAGCCGTTCGTTAAAATTTAACAGTCTTGGTAATAAGTTACAATAACCTTATGGCCAAACCTTGGAACAATTGCGGTTTTGAAACTTTCAGCTGGGCCAGCTTATATTTAACGATTTAACACGTGAGAAAACATTTACACTTCAGTAACAATTTATCGCATAATCCGACTCGAGAATATTTCCGCCATCGCCTTTATCCCTGTTGTTATTATTTTTTTTTATATTATTTTTTTGTTGCCCGAAATGATGCACAATAATCCCTTTTTACGTTACGGCAGACGCTTACGCATCCTTGGAGAAATCCTCTTCTGTTTGTCCTGTTTTGCTTCTTGGGTCCCAGATATTTTTTTGTTTTTGTTTTCTTCAACGCGGCATTCTAATATCCATTTGAATGCGACGAAAGCAAACAAATTTTAAAAGTGATTTCGGCAAAAGACACTCGACCAGCGGCAATGCAGGACACAGGACACAGCACACCCAAGGGGACATCAAGTGGTTTAACTTTGTCTTAATTTTTCCTTTCCCTGTTTTTTCCACTTTGCATATTTTTTGTCGTCTTTATTTTCACTGTTTATCGTTTCGCCGTAATGTCTTGAGCGGACATCGCGGAAAATTGGCTTTTTATCGTGTTATCCCTTTTTCCATCCGAGTCACGTCCGCGCGAACAGGATGCAAATTTTCTACTGAAACGCGTGCAGTCAACGTCAGCGACCGTACCACCAAAGCCCTTACATTCCGGAGGACTTCGTTCCCAAAGCTGCCGACTGTTCTACGGACGTGTTTCCCCCTGTTTCATTCCGTCGGGGAATGTTCGGATTGCGGCTCGTTCCGACTTTCCCCAGCCGGAATCTCGGTCCTCGGAACACCCAAGCCCCTTTCATTTTGCCGGCTGTTTATTTGCGGCTGCGCATTGGTTCGATTTGCTAAGATTTGAAATTTATTTGTTTATGACTCGGATACTATTTGTAACTGACCAACAATACATATGTTTCCGGGGTACAATACTACGCTTTTGTCGCATATGAATACCAATATTTGGGACAAAAACAATATTTGTCGACTGAGGTAGTAGACCTTAATTAGCTTTGAAATGTATATATCTTAAGTAGGCCTTTAAAGTTAGGCCTTCTACAAACCCGGTTCAATTAAATAATATTAAAAAAGGTAGCTCACTCCAATGCAATATGTCAAGATTATCATATGAAACATGAAGGCCTTTTTTTTAAGCCCTTTAGCCTGCAGTGTTTATTAAGTGTTAAGGCATACCTGATTAAAATATTAAAACAAAACCATTCAACCATCTTTCAACACGACTTAACCAGTTGCTCTTCAGTTGAATTGATTTACATTAATGTTTAACACATACGAAATATTTATCATAAACCCCGGAATTAAAAAACTCAGAACACGAAAAAGGGGGATGGGTCATATGATATTCTGCCTTAATAATTTTTAAATTGTTTTAACATTTACATTTCAAGTGGGTTAAGTTGAGATTAACTTATTAACGTCCATTCTATTTATTTTCCTTGAGGTTAAAGTCACACAACTCAGTGGCGCGTAATTGGCATCCTGCAAATGGTGACCCAGTAAATCACGGTGGTGACCGCGTTGGCATTCTGTCACTAAATTAGCTTTTTGGTGTCTTTTGAAAAATCATCGCCTTTAGTGGCCGAAATTTACTGCCAAATGAAGAGTCTCGGCTATTGTGTGAGAATGTGCCATTATGTAAGAGGTCCTTGGAATTTTTCCGGGGCCCAATATGCGCGGCTTGATAAACGGCGGCCTAGGACTGAGTGTAATCTTGTGTGCTTTGTTGTCAAAGAGCAAGTAACAAATAAATATTATTGAACTTTTAAGTCCCCAGAGGGTGGCCAACATGCAATTGACGCCCCAGCGCGATAAAAGGCGGTTTCTGGGGATGCTGGGCGTAGGGCATAGGGCGGTGGGAAGATAAGGGGCAGGCGTCCTCTCAAAGTGCCAACATAAATTCTTGCACTGTTCAATTTATTGTGTATTGACACAGCTTACGGAGAAACAAATAAAAATGTTTACTAAAGTGCGGGTGCCAGGCGAGAGTCCTGCCCCATGTCGAATCGCTCTCAAAGGCTCCAGGAATGCGGACGAGTCCTGCCCCCCTCGCCACCCCACTAACTTTCTCACGGAGTCAAGGACCTTGTTGGCATCCAGGCAGCCATTGTTATTACCTCTTTGTTGTGTTTACACGCCATTTGTGGTATTTCACTCACTTCCATGTGGCTCACCTCGCCCGCGGATTCTGAGGAAGGTCCTGCAGGATGCGAGAAGTGTCAGTCGGCATGCGGGCGGCGGGCAAAAGACTGTCGTAAAAGTATATTTGAAATGAAAATGCCAGGGGGCCTTAAAATGCTCAACTTTGAGCTCACGAAATAATCAAAATATACTTTATGTCGTTTTCTGAGCCAGAGAAAACAGTTAGTCGAGTTATCGCCGCCGAAAGCCAGACAACAAAAACAGAAACTTGCCTAATGCTGCCGAAAGCCATGAATCGGGCTTGAAATAAAACAAAAGATCAACATGTTAATGTGCAGTAAAGTGACTGCAAAACACTTGAAAAATAAAGTGATTTCATGCGATGCCATACTTATATTTTTACTTCAACCAATAAAAAGAATAGAACTAGAAGTGTTCTCTTGTTTCTGCAAAATTAAAATATCTGTGGTGGAAGCTAAGGTGAAAGATCAAAAGTTTTCAATTGAAAACAAATATCATCATTTACTCTTGTAACACCAGCTTTTAACTTTATTTTCTTGAATTGTAAATAATTTTTTTTGGTTATACATACGCACTATTATTTGTTTGAGTCTTGAAACAATCGAACTTTGAACTGGAGCTAGAGGTTGCAGGAAGGAATTGGCTGGCACATTTCGACAAGCAAACTCGAAAGTTGGTCCTCCGCACAACATCCCAATATACATATACTTCATGATTGCTTTTCCCAATTTTGCCAGATTTCTTCAGCCTTCAATTTTCTACACGAATATGTATTTATATAGAAATATTTTTTCAGTTGTTCCCCTCGTCGTGTTCGTTTTGGCAGAATGCCCTGCTCTTCGATCTGAATATGCGAATTTCCATTGACATGCTAGACAAATTTCTGATAGATTTACTTGCAATCACATATGAGAAAAGCTGGTTCGATTTTTTCGCAGCGGCCAAGGCAACAACATCCTTAAATGCATCAACGATATTAAATATTTGCTATGGCGTCTGAGAGAGCTGGAGGATGACCGGAAAATGCCAATAATCCCAATGTTGCAACAATTTATGGAACATTTGCTCACTTGAGTTGAGCTATAAATTCTACAATTATTGTGGTCAAAATTTAGAGTGATGCAGTGAATTTTTTTGCTGAAAAATAAAATCCAAATAAAAGCAGAATTAAAGAGGATCAAGAGAGAAACTAAAATCTGTTTAAAACTCAGATTAAGCATTTCCTGAAAATCACAAACAAAAGAAAATGTGTCTATATTGGAGGTGTACAAATAAGTAACTAAACACTTAAAACCCAACTCCCTATTCAGGCAATTCGAATTCCCTTTCAAGCCAGATATGCGTTCCACTTTAGTGGCCTACTTTTAGGAGTAGCCGTCTAATTCTCTAAGCGCATTTCAGGGAAGCTCTTTGAGGCTATTAGGCTCTGAGAAAAGTGAAGCTGTGGCAGCCACATTGTGCACTTTTCCCTTTGCATTTGCAACTGAAAGCGCGACAACAATTTATGCAGCTGTGGTGCGACCAGCTCTAGCCGTGTTCATTTGCTCAGCCAACCAGTAAAAGTTCGAGAATCAATTGGTTTCGAGTGCCGCAGCACTAGGTCTCTGTGTTCGAGCCATCAAACCCAAACGCACTTTACGCTTCACGCTTTTCATTTCGAATGCTAAAGCAGGGCGGAAAACGAATAGGGAGGCATCCTTCCTGGCAGAGTGGCAGAAGCGATTGCAACAAAATACAAACTGCTAAGTAAAACGGATGAGTGTTGCAATTAAAGGCAAACAAAACGCGTAATCGAATCCTATGTAAATGCGTTCTACGCAGAGGGGGAAAGCGAGACAGCAATCGAGTTAAGGATAGAGACGGTTTTAGGAATGGGCGACGGCTTGATGGCGAGGACGGTTAATGGAAACCGCCGTAACCTCGTTTTAACACCAACCACTGCCGATACACTAACGCTCTTTGTTGCAACTTTTTTTCCCCCTCACTCCCTTCTGTTAGTAGCTTCCTTTTTGTGGCGAATCAGGATTAACGGTAAATATAATTACTGCACCCTTTGCCAATGGAGGGACAAATGAGGGGTTAACTGGGGAGAGGGAGAAGGGTCCAAAGGACAAAGCGACGTGACGTTAATGATATTGTCGGTTGGGGTTGTGGGACCCTCCGAATGCGACCCTTGGCTAATTTGTTCTATGTTCGACTTGTGTCTAATTAATGAAGATTGTGTCGCATAATCGTAACGGTTAAATTTATATAAATTGTTTGCGGGTTTGTCTCGACATCTTAAGTGGTAACCCATTTTTACCCTCATGCCTCCAATGCCTCTTTAGTGGGCTGTCATTGTCCTTAGATTTTAATAGGCTTATGAATAATTAAAAATAGGGTATATCATATTCAACAAAACATTCCTAACAAGTTAACAATCGTGGTTCAAAATCATTCGATTTTTTCAAAGATCCTTTCGAAAATGGGGGAAATGCATAAGAAGCCAATATGGCCCACTCCGAAACCCATATCTTTGCCAATATTCGTCTGATTCTTAAACGGAATACCTCAAACGATTTCTGGATCGATTCTTCACAAATCTGCATCAAAACCCAGGAACAAAAGATTTTTTAGGTTTTTTGTTAAATTTTCTGGGTAGACCCCTTCGAAAATGGAGAAATGCATGGGAGGCTAATATGGCCCACGGCGAAACCCATATCTTTGCCAATATTCATCCGATTCTATAACGGAATACCTCAAACGATTTCTGGATCGATTTTTCACAAATCTGCATCAAAATCCAGGAACAAAATATTTTTTAGATTTTTTGTCAAATATTCTGGGTAGACCCCTTCGGAAATGGGGGAAACGCATGGGAGGCCAATATGGCCCACGGCGAAACCCATATCTTTGCCAATATTCATCTGATTCTTGAGCGGAATATCTTAAATGATTTGTGGATCGATTCTTCACAAATCTGCATCAAAATCCAGGAACAAAATATTTTTTAGATTTTTTGTCTAATATTCTGGGTAGACCCCTTCGGAAATGGGGGAAATGCATGGGAGGCCAATATGGCCCACGCCGAAACCCATATCTTTGCCAATATTCATCTGATTCTTGAGCGGAATATCTTAAATGATTTGTGGATCGATTCTTCACAAATCTGCATCAAAATCCAGGAACAAAATATTTTTTAGATTTTTTGTCAAATTTTATGGGTAGACCCCTTCGGAAATGGGGAAAATGCATGGGAGACCAATATGGCCCACGCCGAAACCTATATCTTTGCCAATATTCATCTGATTCTTGAGCGGAATACCTTAAACGATTTGTGGATCGATTCTTCACAAATCTGCATCAAAATCCAGGAACAAAATATTTTTTAGATTTTTTGTCAAATTTTATGGGTAGACCCCTTCGGAAATGGGGGAAATGCATGGGAGGCCAATATGGCCC